GGTATTCTTAGATATCTTTTCATTAAAAAGGGTGGGGTATTTAAAACACGATATCATTAAAGGTAATATATATATATATATATATATTACACTACTGATATATAAGAGGGAATAAGCATACACGTCTCGGTCTCGGTCGACGTGTGTGCTTCCCGGAAATAAAATTTGAGTTCGAGGATCATTTAGTCATTTTAGGTTTATTGTGACTGTTTACAAATTAAAACTCTCAAAATGTCACATGTGTCACATATATTATTTTAAAAGTACATTTAAAATATTACAAAAATAATTAACAATAAAATTATAAAATTAAAATAAATAAAATAATATTGGGCCTAGACTTGTCCGGACTTTTGTATCTAGTATATATAATTTGCCAGACTAGAAGATAGTGAGAGGCCAAAGGGTTCCATATGTTTTTTTGTTTTTTTTTTACCATCTCATTCAATTTGGTGGAAGAAGAATATAATAGCATGTCATGTTTTTTTCTCATATTTTGGACTTTTACTTGACATACTAATAACTCTATTCTTGTATTCAAGTACAGTACTAATTATTAGTACAAAAAAAAAAAAAAAACTATGCAAAAGCATTTTAAAGGAATAAATGAGATGCAAAAACATTTTATTATAAATATATTTAAAATTCTTCCGTCTTACTGATTATTATTGATGATTTTTCAAATTTAAACATGAATTTCAGAAATAAAAACTTTCTCTTTTTTTATATAATGGATCAAATTAATAAACGTTATTACATTCAATGTGAAATGTCTCCCTGTTCTTCATTATATTATACTGATTTCTCCAAAATATCTATTGCATGTGTATCGTGAATCATGTAATATATAGTTTATAAAATAATATTAATAATATCAAAATAAAATTTTGAGTAAAATATTTCTGCTAAGAATTTTCATCAAAATATTTTTGCATATGAGACTCATCCCAATTTAGTAAGATAAATTTGGATACTTAAAGATGTAATACATTCTATTTATGGAAAATGAGTCAAGAATCAGTATCTAATAAATCAAAAAAATTAAACAGGACCACATACATAATAAATACAAACCCAATAAGAAGTTATCCGATCAAATGATAATTTGATGCATATCTTTTGTATAATTCTTTTTCATTTTGAAAAAAAAAATTATCTGGACGGAGAGAGGGGAATAAAAATAATGAATAAAGAGAAAGTGGGGTTGAAGGGGAGTGAAAATTGTGGTTGAAGGGGAGTGAAAATAAGATTTATTTTAGGAGGATAATTATAAACATATAATTTGCTATATATGAGAGAGATAAAAATTAAATTGAAAAAATATGAGAGAGAATATGATGGATACACTTTATTTGCTAAAATATTGACATATTAACATTTTAAATAATTATTTTAAAATGTAGATATTTTTAATAATTATGTTAGGAATTTTGACTAGTTAGCTAATTTTCCCTAAAAAAGGAATACTTGACTTATAATTGAAAGATTTTTTAAAGAAGAGAGATAATAATAATATTTAGACAAATATTAACTTATTCAACACACACACAAAAAAAAACACCTAAAAATTAAAGGAATATCAAGAAATTCAAAAAACACACAAACATAATTATCAATTGATGAATACAAACAAAGATACATATAAATCGAATATTCATATTAAAACTCATATGACATCATGGTTGACATATATTATTTGTGTGGCCATACCTTATGTATCAATCATTCCAAAAATATTCACCTATACTTTTTCTTTATTTTTTTAATTTCCTTCAAATAATTTTGTTGATATTAGATAAAATTATTTTTATTTTCTCAAAGATATATCATTACATATTTCCAGGGGCGGCTCAACATAATTGGAGGCCTAAAGCGAAATTTTAATTTGAGGCCTAAAATATAAACAAACTTCGTATATATATTTATTCAAAATTTATTTTTCTTACACTATTTAGATGAAAATTATTAGTATTGTAATATTATTTTTCAGCTATTGATTTTAGGTAAGACTTTATCAACTCAACAATGAAAACATCCTTTCAGTGAGACAATTAGTATATGAATTGTTAACATAATTTTATCAGTAATAAGTTGACAAATATTAAATAAAGATTAGAGTTAGAACCATAGAATCTGATTCAAGAAGTTGATGACTTGGTATACACCATTTTAATATGCTTGTTGTAATGTTTGAAACTAAAATTTAAAAAGAAATAAAAAAGAATTTGTAATTCACTTTGTTCAACACTTTTCACTATTAATTCTTATTTTTAACAAAGCATAAACGATGTTAAAGTGGGTAAAATAATAATTTTTTTTATCATAATTAATCATTTTTTTCTATAAAAATTTAACACATAATTTATTCTTGATAATAATTTGGTCCCCCGCCTAAGGCATAAACCTCATTTTACAAAGGCAAGAGCTGGCCCTGCATATTTCTTTATATATATAAAAAATACGTTTACTGGAAAAAGATTCGTCAACTTGATCTTGATGTCCCATTACTTCTTGTCTAAATCACAGAATATGTGAAGGTGTATAAAGAGGAAATTAATGGACTAGAAAATGGAAGTTTGAAAATATTGAGAACTAAGCTTTTTAAACAAAAAACGTCATATTCAAATGTGATTCCATAAATGAGGTTTGAGGATGACAGAATGTACGCAAACATATAAAGGGGTTGTTTCATATATATCATCGGCTTCAAAAATTAAAAGCATTTAAAAATAAGTTTGAAATATTCAAGAGAGAAATAAGCTCTTATATAAATATTATTCCATTTGTCTCAATTTATATGATACTTTTTTCTTTTTAGTCTGTTTAAAAAAAATGTCACATTTTTTTATTTGACAAATAGTTAATGACACTATCCAACATTTTACTTAGGTTGAACTCTACTTATTTGGCAAAAAATCAACAAAGGTGTTAGGTGTACTCTTTTAAGGATAGTTTGAAACACGGCAAAGTCTTCTCATATTTATCATATATTTATTGCCCAGTCAAACTATATCACATAAATTGAGATGTAGGAAGTAAAAAAAAAGAAGGGATCGGAGCAGATAAAATATTCCAAGCTAGAGTCCTGCTCTCCTACATGAAAGAGAGAGAACATTTGACTAGCTTCGTTACGCAGTGATGGACCTAGGATTTTGTTTAAGTGAGTCCATTGAAATCCAATTAATCCGAATTCACACCAAAAAGTACCACATTAGCAGGTAAAACGCTCTCTAACAAGGACGACTCACTTAAAAAAATGATAGAACTCTAACTCCAAAGACGGCTCAAGAAGTTTATTACTCTAAAAAAATAGTCTAGTAAAAATTCTTAAAATCTCAATGCGCAAATATGATGTTCAATTGTAGGGGTGTACATGACCGGGTTAGTTCGGGTTTTTCAAATATCAAACCAAACCATTTGTGTAAAAAATTTAAATTTATAAACCAAACCAAACTAATAAAATTCGGATTTTTTCGGGTTTTTCAACCTTGGATTGGTTCGGGGTTTTTAAATACCAAACCAAACCATTGTGTCGTATTTTTAAATTTATAAATCAAACCAAACTAATAAACCTCGGATTTTTTCAGATTTTTGGATTTTTCGGTAAAGTTTGCTATACAAACATATAATTAACTTGCGCTCCAAATATTTCGTTAGTCCAACCAAAATATAATTATCTAAGGTGTTTCTTAAGAAAATAACACAAAATATGAGATGAGTATTGATGACACTAAAATATTCAATAAAAAATAATAATGAAATCATCATATAAAATAAATATTGCAAAGTCATAATGAAAATGATCATAATTTAAAAGTACTAAATCATGCTAAAATAAGTTTAATAAGTATTAGTTACATTACTAAATATTTAAGGAAAATTAAAATTAGATTATGTATTTTAATTGTCTAAACCAATGTAAAACTAAAGAACAAATATTCAATATTATTGTCGTCCTTAGTGTTGAATTGATTTTCTTTTTGCATTAATTTGATTTTGATTTAAGTTTTATTATAATTATCAACATCTATGAACTATAATCTTTATTGGACCATTCCGAATTCTAAGTTTTAAACTTGAAATAATATATTAAAAGATAAAAACTATGAAATATTATAAGAAATATTTTAAAATTATATCAAAGTAAATATTTTTATGTATAAAATAAAATTTTTTTAATTACATATATAATGTCGGGTTGGTTTGGTCTCGGGTTGTTTTTTTTTAGTTAAATCGAACCAACCCAACATTATATAGTCGGATTGTAATAACGAAGACTTTAATTGTGGCATATATGATATATCACCGAGGAATAAGAGTTGATTGTTGGCGATGACATAGTACAAAAAAAATTGAGAAGGTTTCCGAACTCGGTTACATACAAATAGAGAGTGCAATTAACAATGAGTCTAGACGAAGATTTATTGAAAACAATCTCTTGTTGTACCTCACTCTCGTTTGCATATCTATGAGATAAGAATAAAATCCGTATACGTACATTTTATCATCTGAGAATCCCACTTTAACTCAGATTATGTTGCTGTTGTTTGATTTTAGTAAAGTAATACTGCAGGAATTTTCCAAGAAAAGAAAGAAAAAGGGTCTTGTGATTTGGACCATTTTATCTATCTTTTTTCTTCTTTGAATTTACTCACTTTCCCCCTATATATACATACAATTCTAGCCTTTAGAAATAGTAAACCCTTTGTATTTTTCAAAGAAATTATATTTGTTTACAATATTCAATTTTTCATTCCTTTTTAAGTTAAAAAAAATGGAGAACCAAAAGAAACGCCAAGCTGCTTACATGAAGAGAAGCCTCTTGGATCAGGTCATATTTTTATTAATTTATTTGGTCACATGTAATAATTATATATATCTCTTAAAATAGAAAATTCACAAATTATTCTATAGGAAATCCAATTGTTAAAGTAATAAAAGAGAAATGAATTACAGAAATTAGTGAATGAAATAAGGTGGAAAAAAAAAGGACCTAGGAACAAGTAGGGAGGATTGGTTCTAGACCGACACTGATTCGATCCTTGGTTTTAAGTCAAAAGACATTTGTATAACGTCCTTAACTTTTTTTTTCCTTTCACATCTCTTCCATTTCAAAGTGAGATTCGCCTAAGGTGTAATATGCACCTCTTCTTTAGAGATTTGCCATCCTTCATAAACATCACATACACACACCCCTAGAGAGTCAATGTCCTTGTTGAGTTTGTTCCACTACTGTACAAAGGAGTAAGGAAGAGTCCTACTCTGATACCATCTATAACGATTTTGGTCCAACTATTAAAGTATTGTCTACTTTGGCCTTAGGCCCACATAGATTTATCCTTGAATTTTAACTCAAAAGACGCCTCAACAACTTATTCTGAACTCATTCTTATAAGATCCCTAACTTTCTTCTCTCATTCTAATATGAAATTCGCGTAAGGTATAATGCCCATTTCTAGAAATAATGTTTGATTGTTTTGTGCAGGGATACCTTGATGAACAATTTATTCATCTTGAAGAATTGCAAGATGATGCAAACCCTAACTTTGTTGAAGAAGTTGTCAAGTTGTATTACACAGATTCAGCTAGATATGTTCGAAATATTGAACTTGCATTGTAAGAATTAAGTTTCATTTTTTTGTTACAAAATTATATATGAATATCATAAACAATTTTAATTCAACATTCAATCAAGTATAGTCACCCCCTTATAAATCATTGGGACGACTAAAGGAATCGCCACAAAAAATGATATTTTTTCGACAAAAGTTATTCACCTATCACATGTATAAAATTGTCATATATATAAACAAATATATACGAGACATGTTAGGAACTCACCTTATATAATACCAATATAACATCATATAAAAAATAACAAAAAACTCATTTTCTCACACAATATATATACCCCATTTCTTCCGCTAAATCATTTCTCTACATGATTTACAAATGTATACATCATGCAATTAGAAAAATTTAATTAATACTTGATAAATTTAATATTGTTTCAGGGAAAATGGACCCTATGATTTTGCTAGACTGGATAATATGATGTACCAATTCAAGGGTAGCAGTTCAAGGTATCATCTCCAACTTCACAAGAGCACATCTATTGACGATGCAAAAAAAATTTAATCATATAACCTAAAACGTAATTACACATTATTTAGTAATATTGATTAATAATCTGAAATAAGTGATAAGTAACATGTTATAACATGTTAAATTACACTATATAATAGCAATAACAATATCATATCCAATGCAATTTTATGAGTGAAATTTGAGGAAGGTCGACTGTATGCGACCTTACTTTTAACTTGGAAGATAAAAGAAGGTTGATATTCATATATAATATATAATATATATATATATTGTACTATATATATATTTTGTACTAACATTTTGAGTCACCTTTTCAAAGAACAACAAAAAAGAGATAGAAAAGTACTCATAATGAATCTATTTGGGTCCACATTTGGAAATCTCCTTGAATATAGTTTGACTACAAAAGTGAATAATGATAAAGTTAATTATTGAGTAGGTTGAATAATCAATTAAATTTCTTTATCCTCATGCCTTTTAGATTTTTTCTAGACATC